TCAGTTTGACACCGACATCCTCCATAAAGATAGACGAACGGAGTACCAGAGGGCGAAACGCTCATGCAATGCAGATCGTTAAAGCAACCTCGTCGTGCCAGTGACCCGAATGTGGCTTATGGAGACAAAGCGCAGTAAGGCGGTCGGGAAATGGAGGAAACGAGAAAAGAGCTAGCGAGGAAGCGCTCGCGAGAGACGCGGGCGCCCGCGTTCGTATCCGTTTTCTCCCTCTTTCTCCCCGCAATTCGTCTCTTCCGGTTTACTCGCGCGGATCCGCGGCAAGTGACGTTGTTCCACGCAGGAAAACGTTGATAAACCGGGCTTCCCAGTTTTACCGTATTACGTTCTGTTTGACACGCGCCGCTTTGATGACGTGCTATTTTTACGACGAGTGTCCTTTCGAATTCAAATTAGCTTCCTGATAAATTTACGTCACTGCAGGAGGAACGATTTTGGAGAGTCGTCGTGTGAATATTAAACAGAATTGCTGTTATTATGGAACAACACAATCACTTTCCTGTAATTATTTTATTAGACAATTAACTCGATAAACCGATGCGGCGTTAAAAACGTTGGGTAAATTCGAACGTTGAATTTACGACGTAAGCGCCCGTGTTTGAGAATTGCATTCGTAAACCGCCGGCGGTAATGTGGCCATTCGCTTTCGGTTTCTCGATTACGTCGAACGCGCGCACGATCTCGGTGTCTTTAAATAAAACTCTAGATCGGATAGCCGCATTCGGTGCTAAACGCGGCGCCGAACAAGAGTGTGAATGCGCGAAGCTAAGACGGGATAGAAAATAGAATTGACGATAGTCAGAGCCCACAATGGTGGACGAAGATAGCGGCGAGGATGTTCGGATAGGAAGGGAACACGACTCTGATTAGCATACAAACTACGCGCGGCCGTGTCGGTTCTCCACGTTCTGATTGTGTGCGCAGTGCCGTAGCTAAAGTCGCCGGTCCTCGTGACGAGGAACTACATCGCCGCCTTCCCGTAAAGGCGAAATATCATCGCGTGTAAATAACATTAATAAAATGTCGCATAAAAGATAAAACTGTCTGTTGCATAACAATGTAGTCGAAGTAAGTTGCTCGAGGGTGTCAATCGAATAAATTAAATACACTTTCGCGCCTTTGTATGTCAAACGAGATGAAGAGATAAGAGGTTTAACACGAGATCTACGTTTGTAATGAATATTGCTATGTAAAATCCCTGTCATACGGAATTCGATGTGAAATAAAGATCTCATGAAAGCGACGGTCGTCTTAAATTTAGAACACGCTTGATTTTAAATTCCGATCGCTTTCACACTCACCGCTGTACCTATCGCGGTTACAGTTCTGCGCCTCGTAGGTGCAAGCGCCAGGAGATCCGCAATAATATGTAGAATCGACGACCACGGGGACGGAGAGGAACCGCGAGAGCGTGCGAAACGGTGCGGAGAAATGCCGAGAAAAGGAGGCCGATGCCACCCACAAAGTAACGAGCCGCAAGACGCCGCAACACTCGAGACGTCACGCTCGATAATGGACCGCAGCCATTACGATAAACGCGAAAACAGAGTCACGATTGTTCCGTATGGCGGAGAAACTCCGGCAAAAGCATCCTTCGCGGCGGGAACTCGCGCGGAAACCACATGCGAGCTGACTGCTAGATTCGGCTCTATGTTCTTAATGATCGAGAAATTCATGAAGGAGAGAACATATTTCTATAACTATCTCCACCTTTCATCTCTCAAGAGTCTTTGTTACGGAGTCTTCATTTGAGAAAAGAACGTTCGATACTTCCTTTTCAATCAAATATACTATATAAATTCAGCTCTCGATAACACAAGTACAAAAACAGCAAACGGACAATGAGAGTATAACGCGGTCATTGTTGCGCGAGTTGTACAATTAACTATATTTAATTGCGATCACAATGTAATGGTAACAATTAGTGAACGTTTCGACTCCAATGTGAGTCGTCTTCGGCGCAACGAATATATTCTTTCTTACCATTTTAGTTGGGTGAAGCGGGGTGAGCGATTTTAGTTTTTTCACCAATTCCAATTGTCTTAGAAGATGCCCCTTTTAAAAAAAATACCAGACTCGAGATCTCGACGCGTCCGTTTTTCGTAAGCGAATTAGATATGATCCAGATTCTGACATGAAGACTCAGGCTTTACAGTTAGATATCTAATTTTACCATGGTCGGTCCTAATTCGCTCCGGCGTACGAGCATCCAGCACGGTCGTACGATAGCCACCCACAAAGCGCGAATATGGGGAACCGGTAACACTTGAGATACCAGCGGCGTGGTCGTCGATAATGGCCAGGCATTACGATAAAACGCGCGAAAACAGGGCCGCCGTTGTCGCGACGAGTGCCGTCTTCGAGGGCCCACGTGGAGGCACGCCCGGGCGTGAATACGGGGCACTGTGCTACCCAAAATTGTCCTCTCGACCGGGCGGTTTCTGGCCCGCCGATCGATCGTCAGACAGGGCTACGAGAGGCGTGGATCCACTGCTCATTAGCGGAGAGTTGACAGTCCGTCGAATGATCCCGGAGATCGGATGACGCGGACGGAACCAGTTAGGCGGGAGATGTATTTGAGATTGCGAAGCGTGTGCGAGGCAAATATAATATTAACCGATTGGACGGACATCCACGTGTCTTGGCACGCAGGAAATTCCACGTCGCCGACGTTATCTGCAAATTTCTTGCGCGGAGCCAAGAACTGCTCACCGCGTTTTCTCATCTTATCCCGCTTGAGATTAAATGAGACGAGGTTTGAATCTTATTGGAAGCGAATGGAATCGAGGGGGACGACGATTGACTGAAGCTCAACCGGGCGGACTCGCAATCGTGGTAAAAAAAAAAAGAAGAAGAAAACGTACGGTTTCTCAACCCTACGGAGAGAGGCGGTGCCGTTCGAAAAAGCGCCGCCCGCCGAATTGTCAACTTTTCCACGTGTCTCCTATTCGTCTTATCGAGCCGTACCATTTTTTACCGCGCGTCCAATCAACGTGCGACAACGGCGCAACGGAGCCCTCTCTCTCTCTCTCTCTCTCTCTCTCGCCCCCGCGGCCGTGTCCGTAAATCTCCCCAAGTAAGCCACCCCGGACGTCGGTAAATGTATTTTCCCGTGTCCCGCGGATCCACGAAACCGTGCCGACTAGCATGAGCCGCCGTGTCACAAATTACTGGCGCGTTGTTCCGCTGTCGGCGGTACGTAACACCGCCTGGGCGTACGCCCATTTCAGGAATGGCCTATTTCTGCTTTAATTTAAGACTCTACGGAATGCCAATTAGGCGTGCTGTTTCCCTCATTGAGAACCGGTGGTATAAAGGTCGAAACGGTCGTGAGACAATTTCGGCCTCGTATATCTCCGTATATTTATTGCGTCCCGTTATATTTTTCAAGTGTCACGTATTGCAAAGAAAGCGTGCGCTCCAATTTCTAAAATTTTCAAAGGACGGCCGTAAAAGGCGAGTCCCCACGGCCGAAAGGACGGAAGGGAAACGTAGGTGTGAGAATTTCTAAAATTTCCGCAAAACGGTCGAAAAGTGTTCCCGGCTACCGCTGTGCTCTAAATAAATTACCTACCGCGGCTGCTTGTAGATCAGCACGCGGTACTGCGAGCAAGAACCGGCGTTGCCGGCGACAGACTGTAGTAGTGAAACCGGGCGAGGCTTTGTTTTTGGCTAATTTAGGGCCCATTAGTGCGACGACGTCGCCCTATATCCTTCCCCGCTGCCCGCTATCTCAAGATAGCGCGGATAAAAATCCCGATGCAAAATCTCAAATGGAGAAATAACCGCGGGCGTTTCACTTATTATGCAACGTCATCTCCGCTAATTGTTATATATAACGATATTACGCGCGGTCGCTCCTTTTTTTCCTCGCGAGAGCGCAAGATGGCATCCTCGTTAATTACGAAGTCATCATCTAATCTCACCGCGACCTAGATCTCGGTGCACGATATGGGTACCAGAGCCACAGGCTGTCGGAAACACGGTTAGGTATTAATTAAAGTGGCAGGCTTTCTCGCCGCGTCTTCGGGTGCTCCCATTTTCGGGTAATTTGGGATACGCTCAAGAGCAACACTCTCATCTACGTCCCCGCCCCCCCTCCCTCGATCGCGCCATCAGAAAAGTGCTAAAGTTGCATAATCGTGTCATAAGAACTCGAATGACAGCACGTGGGAATTATTTTACAAGTTCCTCAAGTCCGATTGGACACGCGTGTATTTTCAAGTCCAACCATTTCCCCCTGTACATTTTATTCATACTTAGGGCGCTCTAAATCTTTCCAGTAACAATTGCAAAAATTGTAAAGCCATTTCCATAGCATTATATTACCTTTGACAGAACGAGTGTATCCTCCAAGGAAACAGAGACTTCGCCAAATATATTGTAATAAAATTCGAATAGCATTATATTATTTTTGACAGAATGAGTCCATTCCCCCAGGAAAACAAAGACTTCACTAAATCTTAAAATATCGATAGCTGACACTTTGACGTCGGCTACAGTATCCGTGAACTAACATTTCCCGAGTAGACCTAAAAGCTCCCCCTCGGCGCGGCTCACCGCGCCATAGATCATCGCCCGGTACGAGGAGGCAGAACAACTGGGGCGCTGTCGGGAACAAACCGACGGATGCTCAGACGCCCGTTTTCTCGCTCGTTGCTCTATTTTCGGTTTAATTCCGGAGCGATCGGTAACGCTCTCTCCCGTCTCCCGTACGACATCGCCCTTATTCTCTCACCATGTGGCCGTCCCTTTCTATTTCTTCGGCTCGCGTAAGAATACAAGGGTGGCCTGCGTTCTCTTGAAACACGATTGCATGCTGAACGACCTCGGACCTTGAAAACACGACGTCCCGGCGCTTTGTTGCAAGAAACGACCATCGACGGCTCAAAGTCGTAGAAATTTTGCATCGTATTGCGCCGTACCGGTCGCCCCGGTATCGGCGAGACGTGGAAACAATAAGAGAGCGGAGATCTACTTACTTCCAGAAAACGACGGACACGATCGCGGCCATCAGCAGGAGGACCACCGCGCAGGTGATGATCAGGGCAGTGCTTTGCAACGACGGGTTCGTATGATAGGAGGCGTCGATCATCTGGAAAGAGAAAGCCGTCGTTAGAGTGACATTCGAGCGTACGGATATTTACGTTTATTTTGCGAAAGCAGTAAAATATCGCATAAGCTATTTATGCGGAATACAAATAATCCCGCTCATTGTCGTGGGAATATATCCCGCGATGCGTGCGTGGATATTGGTTCATTCCAGAACCAAAATATAACGTAATATTGAATTACGCGCGACATTATATAAAGATAATCCGATGCTCGCCAATAAAATGAAATAACAACGGAATAGCCGTGAGAATAGCTCCATTTTTTTTAGTCTGCCCTCTTGTGGGAACGCCTTTCAATTGTTAGATTATATCAGCGTGACATTTCTAAAGATTCCTCGAAATTCGTGTGCTTAATCTTGATTAAATGCTGAATCCACCACAGGCGCTTAAACTCCTTCAGGCGCTGAATTTTTGAAATTTCCTTTAACGGGAAATCGCCGGGATCGAATCGAGAACCCTACAACCTCAGAAAGGATTTCTGTTACCGAGACAAAAAATATCCTTGACGCATTTATATTTCTCACAATCTCATTTAGCATAAAAATAAGATGATAGCAAAATAAAATCAATAATTCTTATTCTCATCTATCGAAGTAGAAAAGATTGACTTACTATATTGAGACAAGAGTAACTTATATGTATAAATGTAAGTTTATATATTGTTGCGTTTAGAACAAATTTTCCCTCCATACACAGTAAAAAATCGTGTGTTCAAATGTAAAAATTTTTTTGTATTACCAAGATTTGATTCTTACTTCAATGTAAAATTACCATAAAACGCATATGTTATTAGTTTCGTAACAACAAGATTAAAATATTCCTTTCTCTATAATAATGAGTGGCGCTATATCGATCCTATTTTATGATACATTCAAGCGTAATAGCATTGGATCCGGAAATTTACACCCAGAAATGAAAGATTTGGTTAGATTAAACAAATGAGATACGTTGGACATGTTTCTATTCAATTTTTATTTACTTCCACTGAAACATTTGCTAGATTTGAAGCTGCGAATTCTCTTAGAGAAATTCCAGTTTCAATCAAATAAAATTTCGGTTGAGGCAAAGAAATGATTTCTTTGAAATTAAGTAAAAGCAAGGTCAAAATTCAAAGAAACACTTTTTCCTGGGTGTACCAATCGCTCGTGTTGGCGCTACACACGTCAGAATAGCTCCGTGCCGAGTTCTTCGGCTACGTCACGGCGCGTAATTCGCGAAATGATCGTCTATTCCGCGCTCACCTCGCGGATTTCGACACTACAAGGCGACCGGGAAACCGGTTAGGCGTCGGCGGTGCTCGATAATGAGATCGCAGGTATAAATTTCCTCATTTTCTCACGGAGGAGAGTTGCAAAAACGACGTTGCGCGGTTTGGTATTACGCGACGCCGCCGTGTTATTACGCGGCCGTCGCGGGCGCGATAATGCCGGAAGAGGCGAATTAATCGCCGTGGAAACAACTTCATTCCGACAGATTTAATCGAGACAGCACGCAGCTTTGTGCCGCCGTCGTCGCGAAGACGTGCTTTCACCCTGAACGCGAAGAGAAAACCCGCGCGTTAACCGTCGCCTTTGCGCGTGCACGAGTCGCTACTCACACACATTTCCGCTTTTATTCCCAGATTATTCCCGTACACGTAGCATTATTTATCGCTGTCCTTTTATCTGTGGTATTTAATATTCAAAGCCGACCGCCGCTCGGCCACGAGCCGAGCGTTAAATCATACGCTGTGTTCATAATAAAAATTAATTAACGCTTCTACCAAGGAATATTTGTTAGCTATTTTGTGCCCCGCGATCCTCCAGTGGTGGCACAAAAATGACTACAAAACACGGCTGCGGAATCAGTCTCCTCGTTAGAGCCATTTCTCAAGATAATTTACAATTAATGCCAACGGTTTCATATCGCGTATAACGAACAAACTTGATACGGTTCGAGATGTAAAGCGGTTCAATTAAGCCCTGGTAAAATATTCAAGCTTTAATTTCCCGGAGTTTTACAAAGGATTAATGATTTAAAAATTAATTCTCCTCTCTCGGTATTTCAGGATCTACTCGGTATCTAAGAAGAGACCTGTGTGCGGATGCGATACCGTTCCCTTCGCGGATGATCTCGTTCGAGGCAGGCGGAGGAAGGAGGTGGCGAGACCGGCGAAAGGGTTGCCGGGCCGAAAGGGTGAGTCGTGGATTCTTCATATCGACAATACGAAATACCAGCGCGACCCTCATTTGCGTCTCCGCGCGGGGAAGTCTGGAAGGTAACGGAGGCGGCACGAGGTGGAGAATTTCGCGGCCGAAATCCCTCGTTTCTCGAACCGGGGTGTATTCGATATCGGCGGCGGCGCAAACGGAACGCCGGAAATTCGTATCGGAATCTCCAGCCCCACCGCCATTGTGACTGGGTTCTTCATAAGAGGCACGTAGGTGTGCCGGAAAGTGCCCGGGCACACGTGCCGGGTATGACGAAGGCGTACGGGGGGTGGGAGGGAGAGGGGCACCTTTCCTCGGTTACGTGGAGCGCTTGCGAAAAAGGGAAAGTGATTTTCGCGGGGAAAGGATGGGATCCTCGGGGGCTGAAAGGCAGTTCCGATCAGCCAGATCGGATCCGCCGCGCCGTTTCCATTCTCGGCCCCTCGACGTATCGACCGGGTAGCATTGTGAGAGCGAGATTCTCATTTACCTGGCGACACTCCGAAAGAGGCACGGCTTGGGCGTTGCTTGGTTCTGGAGGGTTGATTAAATATGTATTGATAAGTCTCTCGCCAAAGTGGGACGCGACACAATGCACGGCGTGGAATGCGATAGGTATCGCGTTACACGTTATTCGGAGCGTCGTCGAGGTAGGCGATATTTATCAAAGGCCACGTGGACGGGGACTTTCCCGCATCTCGAGGGAGGATCTCGTCCTTGAAAACATTTTCTTTGCTCGCAAGTTCCGCGCGAGCTCCATGAAGCTCTCATTCGTAACATTAGAGCTCGCCGAGATGAACATATTCAACGCGAGGCTGAATGATGAATGAACGAGCCTGAGTAATGATCGCGATGAAAGAGCGCTTAATTATTTCTCTCGGCCGGGAGCGGAGGTCGCGGCTAAGTTTGACCCTTCGACGAAGTTGGCGCGTCGCAAATAATTCGCGATACAAAAAGGATCCAGTCGACCGAAGATTGGCGGAAAACGAATTCTCGTTTCGTCAGGCTCAACATTTAACGATTATCCCGGGAAAGCTTTAAGAGGTTTGCAAACGGGCAGATGCCTCTAATACACCTTTCGTACACGAATAAAAAAAACCAATGTCGGATTACCCGCGGCAACTCTCGCGATATTAAATAATCGAAGTGCCGTAATGGTCGGCCGAGTGGCCGGCTTTTAATCGTCGCTAACCGATATATTTACCGTATGTAAAGGTTTAATATGTACCGCGACACGGGCGTATCTCGTCTCGTGAAAGGCACGATGAGGAGTACACGAGCGATGAGATACATTGTGCGGCGTGCTATTTGGCCGTGGGCCAAGCAAAGCAGCATTTATCAAAGCTTCTGTAAGCACGTATATAATACACGGTGCCACCTACGCGGTGGCGATTGTGGGAGCGCAAACGTGTGTCGGCCCCCCCTCCCTTGCCACTACCCCTCGCCGTCTTCCTTCGCCTTCTCTTTTTCTGCGAATTTAAGTTTTAATTAAAATTTCAAATGGCATCGAAATTCACCCGCTTGTGCGGCGCACTTTACGCTCGCGTTAAAAATTTTACCGTCTTATTATGTTGCCCGTTGCTGGCCGTAATATATACCGCTCGCCTGTCTTTATACGCCGCCTGATCTCGCCGCGGCGCCTTGATAATCTCGGCAAAGAAAACTGCAATGTTGGCTACAGTTTTGCAGTATCATTTATCACAACTATTCTTTTGCTACGCCCAGAGAAAAGATTTACTTACGTCAAGCAAATGAGATACGTTGAAATCACGGCCCTTTGAATCTATACTAAATTTTTATACGCTTGTACTAAAATGCCTGCTAGGTTTGAAGAAACGGGTATGAATTCTCTTAGGCCCGGTTTCACCAAACGTCGCGTAACTTTAATCGTCCTTTAATTCACGTTCGTCTCTTTCTAAAGTAACAGTTGGAAAGAGACGAACTACGAATCCGGTCTTAATCAAATAAAATTTTGGACACGGTGGAGAAATCATTTCTTTGAAATTAGATAAAAGCAAGGTCAAAGTTCAAAGAAAATTTGTTTGATATCAAACCAGCTTGTTTCTGGGCGGGTGATTAATAAATTATTAACTGTCGATTTACTCTAATCGTTTTTCTACGACTCTGTAAGAAAAAAAATTGTTCCCTTTCGTTCCACGTCTTGTCGTAATGCAGCGTGCATCTACCTGTCTATCGATCTGCCTATCTGTCTGTCGGTCTATTCATCTCTCCCGTTTTTCGCTTACTCTCTTCCCCCCCCTCTCTCTCTCTCTTTCCCCCTTAACGTCATCCGAAAGTACCTCGTTCTCTTCTGATCCGCTTCGTCCTTCGCGCGGTGGCTCATCGCTCATCATTACCAGGATATTAATGGCGCCGGCTAATGGATTCAGTTGAGAGACCAGCGTCAGTAAGAGAATCCCCCGTCCTCTAAGTGATCGCCTCTCTTCATCTTTCCGTTTCCCCCCCATTTTCCCGACGCGGTAGAATTCGGAAAATAAATACCGATGGTATGCCGTGATGTATTATGTCATTCTCACCCGGGAAGACGATAGATGCGGGAAAGGGCGTGGAGGCGAGACAAAATTCGAGCTTGAATTCTCGAAAATTGAGAGCGGAGGGATTCCTATACGTGAGAGGTAACGGAAAAGAACGGCGGGAAAGTCACTCGCGCACACACCGGATATCACTCTACCGTTGCAAAGGGATCGCGCCGTGTCAGTGACGCACAATGCGGTTGCACTTGCAGCTGCATGCGGTTCGCCACGATGCTCCCTGCCGCCCGCGGTAAAACG